ACCTACGTGCAGGATCACGTCGTACATGTCCAGCTGCGTGTCGCGCAGAAGCCTGGGCAGGGACTGGGGGTTGATGTTCCCCATGTCGCCGAAGACAGCGAGACGCGGGCTCCAGTCGGTGCCATTCGGCAGAGCCCGGAAGCTGTGGGGCCGGCTCCAGCCCAGCGGGCTCCCGCAGCGATAAGCTACAGGGGAAGAGCAGGGAGAGACTCAGACACCTGTAGGGTGACAGGACAGCAAGTGTGAAAAATCAGGGGATGGGGTGGGGGCTAATAGGAGCCTATATAAGAAAAAGACCCAAAAATCGGGACTGTCCCTATAAAATCGGGACATCTGGTCACCACAGACGCCTGCTTCTCGTGTGTGTGTCCGTCCGTCCCTCCCTGCTGGAGGGGATGAGCCCTGCTCTATGTGTGTTCACACGTGATTGCACAGAGAGCAGAGTTTGCACGGCCGGGGGCTGTGTGCACGTGGATCGGACTAGCTGGGAGCTGTGTGCGCGTGTGCGAAAGAGAGAGATTGGGGAGTGTGCATGGCTGGGTGCTCAGGGTGGGGGTGTATTTGGGCCCAAGGCAGATTTGGACCTGGTGATGGTGGATATTGCTGGGGGACACTGTGCTTGTGTGCGTGCCCCGCCTATCAGTGTGCGCGCGTGTCTCAGGGCACGCGTGAGCGTGACAAGGCGTCAGGGAGCGTGGCCGGGTGTCTGGGCACGCGCCCCATCAGTGCATATCCCCAGGTCTCAACGGCCCTGCTGCGCCCCCTCCCTGTGGGGGCCCCTTTCTAGAGCCCTGCCCCCATGTCTCTGTCCCTCAGTCTGGTGGCGTGGACGTGGCTTGGCGTGGACGAAGTCTGCAGTGTGCGGGGCCCACTGCCGGGAGAGGAGCCGCGGCCGGGCCCCTGCTTACCGTAGCGCTGCCCGGGAGCCAGACCCCGCAGGGTGACCCGGTGGATCAACATGCTACGGTGCAACCACCCGCCGTCCACGAACCGGCTGGCTTGGCCCTTGGCGGAGGTGGTGAAGGCCCCGCCCGGCTCTGGGCCGAACTCCACAATGGAGCCGGCCGGGTCGAAGGTCGTCCAGGTGACGGTCATGGCGGTGGGGTCGCCTGCCGGGGTTAGAACAGCCTGGTGAGCGCTCGGAGCCCGAGTCTTCCCCGGGACGCCAGCCCTCTCCCTCCCACCGGCTTTGTCTAGGTGCTACAAGGGCCAATTACACACTGAGCCGGCTCCAGACACTTCTACCCTGCCCCAGAACCAGCCTCTGGCTCCAACCCTCTGGCCAGGCATGGATGGGCCTATGGCCAGGCCTGGAGCCAGATCTTGGTTTCCAAGGAGCTGAATCTGCCTGAGAAACTGATTCAACCTTCCCTCATCTCACCAGCACTCTGGAACTGAGGCAGGGAAGTGTTTGCAGGGGGTTGGGAAACTGAGGCACAGAGAGGGGAAGGGACTCACTTGAAGCCAGACAAAGTGGTCACTGCCTGAGCTGGGAATAGAACCCAGGAGTCCTGGCTCCCAGCCCCCCTGCTCTAACCACTAGACCCCACTCCCCTCCCAGAGCTGGGATAGAAACCAGGAGTCTGGGCTTCCAACTCCCCCTACCAACCACTAGACCCCACTCCTCTCCCAAAGCTGGGGACCCCAGGCCCGGTGATATAAACATCAATAACCCAGTGGAGCTGGGCTCCCAGTCGGCCCCACCCCGGGTCCCCCTGCCAGGAGGCGGAGCCCCGACAGCCTCACCTGGGTAGGAGAGATGCACTTGCTCGGGCTGGGTGCGGCGGATGCCCTGGCACAGCAGCCAGGGGAGCACCAGGCAGAGCAGGCAGAGCCAGCCGTGCAGCCCCATCCTCGCCCTGCTCTTCCCAGCCGTGTGGAAGAGGGATGGGGAAACGAAAGCTGTGGGGTGCTGGCCTGTGAGCAGGTCAGATCCTCCTGTGGTCCTGAGTCAGCACCACGCGGCTCTGATTTCCGCAGCCTGATACGTCAGCGGTGAGGCCAGACAGCTCCTGGGGGGCAGAGTTCAAATTCCCAGAGTTAGGGGGGGACCCTGATGGGGGACTGGATCTCAGGGGGCCCAGATGGAGGGCTGGGAGCAGGGGTCAGGGGGAGCTGGGTCCGGGTGTCTCCTAGTGGGGAGGCTAGGAGGAGGTCCTGGGGGAGCTAGCTCTGGGGCTCCCTGATGGGGTGTAGGAGCAGAGTTATTGGGGAGCCGGCTGCAGGGGACAAACACATCCCTTGTGGTGGATCCCTGTATAGATAGCCAACACACGCCACCCCAGAGGTAGCTGCATCTCAGCACCGGGCGTGGGATGCCTGTAAAAACAGCCCTGGAGCCCTCACAAAGGGGGGCTGGGGGGATACAGTCTGTTGGGGAGGGGTTGGGGAGCCCTGGCAGAAGGGGGATGGGGGGCCCTGGGACAGCAACCAAAATTCTCCCTCCCACCTCAAGCCCCAGGCTGACACCGGCTGCCCCTCCCCTGCCAGTTGCTCCTGGCTCCGCCCCGTGGCACTAAGCAGGTGCCCCTCCGCACCACGCTGACCCACCAGGACGGGCAGCCCAGAGTCCCACTCCTGGGCGAACCTGAGACCAGAGCAGAGGCAGACAAACAGGCACACCCTGTTACCCAAGCTGCCACCCACACCAGCCATCCTGCCCCCCAACTCTGCCCAGAACCCCAATTAGTTAAGGGCTCGGCCGGTGCCAGATGGGAAACCTTGCAAACGGACGACTTGTGCAACCATGGAGTGAATAGTGCCAGGGAAATACCAGCGCCCCCCACACACACACACACACATACTGCCCCCTGCCCTGGCATTAAAGCCCCAGCTTCCTTAGCCAGGGGGTGATGGGAGAACCTAGCGAGGCCCAAGAAATCAGTCATTGGAGAAGCACCGAGGGATGGATCCACCTCAGGGATTCCTCGCGGGAGGGGACGGGGCACAGGCCGGCAGAGACGCCAGCTTGACCTGGCTGGCTGGGTTATCCAGAGGCCGGTGTTACAACATTAGAGCAGGTCACGAGACGGGGGTGGGGGGGAATGAGGAAGGAAGAACTGGCGCTTCTTAGGTCAGGGTGCTGTGTTAGACCAGGGGGGCTGGGAGCCAGGACTCCTGGGTTCTCTCCCCAGCTCTGGAAGGGGAGCGGGATCTAGTGGTTAGAGCAGGAGGTGTGGGCTGGGAATCAGGACTCCTGGGTTCTATTTCTAGCTTTGGGAGCTTTCTACCCCACTGTGGCATTCCCACGCATGGCAGCAGCCAGACTGCAGATGCCTTGGGGCAGGGTCCAGCTCCATGCCTGGGCTCTGCAATTTGCTGGGTACCAGTTTCGGTGCTGATGACATCATCAATCATTCCTTGGCTGCTCTCAGCCACCCCCACCCCGATGGAGGTGGTTCAGTGTCATTGACCCCATTTGTGCAGGTGAGGAAACTGAGGCACAGCACGTAGCAAGGGACTTGCCCAAAGTCACATGGAGAGTCTGTGAGACAGCAGGAATAGAACCCAGCCCTGGGAGGTCAACAACACTGACCTACTTTAACCACCAAACCCCCTCCCAGAGCTGGGAAGAGAACCCAGGAGTCCTGGCTCCCAGCCCCACCCTGCCTCCAACCACTAGACCCCACTGCTCTCCCGGAGCTGGGGATCGAACCCAGAAGTCCTGGCTCCCAGCCCCCCTGCTCTAACCACCAGACCCCACTGCTCTCCTAGAGCTGGGGAGAGAACCCAGGAGTCCTGGCTCCCAGCCCCACCCCCACCCACTAGACCCCACTGCTCTCCTAGAGCTGGGGAGAGAACCCAGGAGTCCTGGCTCCCAGCCCCACCCTGCCTCTAACCACTAGACCCCGCTGCTCTCCTAGAGCTGGGGAGAGAACCCAGGAGTCCTGGCTCCCAGCCCCACCCCCACCCACTAGACCCTACTGCTCTCCTAGAGCTGGGGAGAGAACCCAGGAGTCCTGGCTCCCAGCCCCAGCCCCACCCCCACCCACTAGACCCCACTGCTCTCCTAGAGCTGGGGAGAGAACCCAGGAGTCCTGGCTCCCAGCTCCCCCCCCCCTGCTCTAACCACTCGCTCACACACCCCTGCCTGTACAGGGGTCTCCCTAGCCCCGCAATCGCGTTTACCTCGCTCCTCCGCAGCCGCCCGCAGGGCCAGGGCTCCCGCGCTGTCCTCCCAGGGCTGAGCCCGGTCAGCTCGATGCACGCACCGGGCTGCCCCGGCTGCTGTCGGCTCCCTCCGCCGCCCGCCCGGCAGGTGCTGCAGGACAGGGGCGGAAGGACGTCAGCCCGCAGGAAGCACCGAGCGAGCCATGGGCTGGTGGCAGCCGGCCAGCCCGGGCAGGGAGGCAGAGCCGCACTCCTGGGTCAGGGCATGTGCCCAGGCTGCCCGGCGGCAAAGGCCACACACCGGAAAAGAAGCTTGGGGCTCAGGACTCCTGGGTTCTCTCCCCAGCTCCAGGAGAGCAGTGGGGTCTAGTGGTTGGGGGTGGGGCTGGGAGCCAGGACTCCTGGGTTCTCTCCCCAGCTCCAGGAGAGCAGCGGGGTCTAGTAGTTAGAGGTGGGGTGGGGCTGGGAGCCAGGACTCCTGGGTTCTCTCCCCAGCTCCAGGAGAGCAGCGGGGTCTAGTGGTTGGGGGTGGGGCTGAGAGCCAGGACTCCTGGGTTCTCTCCCCAGCTCCAGGAGAGCAGCGGGGTCTAGTGGTTGGGGGGTGGGGCTGAGAGCCAGGACTCCTGGGTTCTCTCCCCAGCTCTAGGAGAGCAGTGGGGTCTAGTGGTTGGGGGTGGGCTGGGAGCCAGGACTCCTGGGTTCTCTCCCCAGCTCCAGGAGAACAGCGGGGTCTAGTGGTTAGAGGCGGGGTGGGGCTGGGAGCCAGGACTCCTGGGTTCTCTCCCCAACTCTAGGAGAGCAGGGGGGCTGGGAGTTTTCCGACAGTGGCCAATGCCAGGTGCGGGGGAGTGGTGCAGGAGGTGAATGGGGAGCACTGAGGAGTGTGTACAGGAGGAGGGGCAGCAGGGACAGTGCGGGTTGGGGACGACGCCGATTTACACCAGCCGGCGATCAGACCCTGCAGCTGGGCTGAGCGGAGAAGCCGGACCTGGGGGCGTTTCCCGCATCCTCTTCCAAGCAGCCCCCGGGTTGCAAGGGGAGAATCCGGTGCTCGCTTTGCACCCATGTAAACGAGAGTCGGGGAGAATCCGCTGCTCAGTTTGCAGCCGTGTAAACGAGGCCAGGGCCGGCTCCAAGGCGGGGCTGGGGATCACATGAGCGGATGCAGCGAGGAGCGGTAGCTGGGCCTGAGCTAGCCAGGCCGCCCCCCGACCATGGGGCAGGCGGTGAGCCGGGCTCCCCCGGCCCCACCGGACCCGGACCCGAACTCGCTGCCGGACGAGCTGCTGGCGCTGATCCTGAGCTGGGTGCCGGGCCGCGTCCTGGTGACCCGCTGCCGGCTGGTGTGTCGCCGCTGGCGGGACCTCCTCGACGGCCCCACGGTGTGGCGGCTGCAGGGCGAGAGGCGGCCGGGCTTGCGGGCCACCCTGGCGGCCGCCCGCCTCTGCCTCCCGCCGCGGTGGAGCCGGATCTGCCTGCTGGAGCCCTTGGGGCGCAACCTGCTCCGGAACCCCTGCGGGCAGGGTGGGTGCCAGCCCGGGGGCGTGGGAGAGGGATGGGGGGGACTCTATTGGGGGGGCGAGGAAAGGGGGAGGATTAGGGGACCATGGGAGGGGGGGATTAGGGGAGGGAGGGTGGGGATTGTGGGACTATGGGGGGGAGTTATGGGGGGCGAGGAAAGGGGGAGTAGGGATGGGAGGGGACCATGGGAGAGGTATAGGTGGGAACACGGGAAGGGGGTGGAGAGAGTCCAGGGCAGGGGACACCACAAGAATGGCCATAGTGGGTCAGACCCATGGTCCATCTCTCCCAGTAACCTATCTTCTGAACGTGCCAGGTACCACGGGGGGGGGGGGGCAGAGGGCATGGGAGGAGGGGGAACCAGGTGGGAGAGCAGGAGGTGAATGGGGAGCACTGAGGAGTGTGTATATGGGGAGGGGTATGTGGCATTGGGGGGGGAGCAAAGGAGAGGGAGCACCAGAGTGGGGGAAGGGGAGAAAATTATCACTGGTGAGGGAGGGGGTGATGAGAGGGCACTGGGGCAAAAAGGTACCTGGGGGTCTGGCAGGTGTGAAGGAAGGGTGTCAGGAAATGGGGGGGGGGGAGTCTCCCTCCTCCCCAGCAACCCCTCCTCCCCAGATATTTATTTCTCTCCCGGTTTATTTTCGAGAGCCAGATTAACCCACTCCTCCCCCTCCCCTGGGAATGGGTGCCCACCAGGGCGTCGTCCCCCACCCCATCAAACCAGCTTCCACCACACCTTGCCCCCCCTTCTCTTGACGCATCGTCTTCCCACAGATCAGTTCTGTCACTGGCAAGTGGAGCATGGGGGCAATGGCTGGATGGTGGAAGAGAACCGCTGCCCAGTCGAGGACGCCCCGGCCCAGACCTGCTTCGTCTCATCCTTTCAGTGAGTCTATCCCCTGAGCCTTCCCGTTTGCCCCCCAGCTTCTGTGTGCGGCAGAGAGCTACCCGTTCTCCAAAGGCCAGTCCGGTCCTGGTCTGGCGTGTGCCCCTATGAATCCAGAGTCACTTGGATCGACCCAGCATAAATGAGACCCAGAGGTGCCAGGCCTGAGTCTGCCCTGCAGCTTGTACTGTCATGTCCCAAATATATGTACACACCAGTAACTCCGGAGTGGCTCTGGATTTAGGCCAGGGCTACGCTACAGATTCCTGCCGGCACAGATCTGTCGGTCAGGTATTGGGAAGAGAGCGGTGCTAGCAGAAGCCCCCAGTGTGGATTCAGTTTTACAGTACGGACGGACGGGGGGAGAGAGACTGTGTGTGTGTTTTGGGGGACAGAGAGTGTGTCAGCATGCTGTCTTCTAAGTTCAGACAGTGGCAGAAAGCAACCAGTCCTGAGGCAGGGAAAGGGGGGGAACCTTGGGATGTCACTTGAGGGATTATGGGACAGCTCCGGAAGCCAGTTACAGCACAGAAAGCCATCAAGTGTGTACACTGGCCATAGAGCGCTGTGCAAATAGCCTTACGGGTTTTTTTGCAGCGCTGCAACTGCGGAGTTTCTGCACACAAAGTGGCTTGGCAGCGTGTACACGTCTTCCGTTTGCGTGCAAAACCCTGCTTTGCTGGGCAGAAGCTTGCCAGTGTAGACAAGCCCTAAGTAAATCTGGAGTCACTTCAGGGGGGTCGCTCCGGATTTGCAGCGGTATAACCAAGATCAGATGCAGGCCCTGACTCTGTGCTGCCCTTGCGTTATCATGACACACGCACAAACACACGCTACCCAGGTGTCGGTATCAACCCAAGGTGTCTGGCAGGGGAGAACTGGGAACGGTGTCCCCCCAGATTTACGAGGCCTTCTCTGTACTGCTGATTTGCCCTGCTTCCAGCCCCAGGTGTAGCTGCCCCTGCCCCAGAAAACTCCTATAGCAGACATTATTTGCACTGCAGGAGCTGACCCCGTGAGTTCAAATCATGGCTTATGGCAGCGTTGCCTGTCTACACAGGGAGCTGTATTGCAGGAGTGCCCGGAGGCTTGAACACCTGAGCTCTGTTTCTGGCTCTGCTCTGTGACCTTGAGCAAAAACTACTTCCTCTGTCTGTGCCTTGGTTTCCCCTCCCACCCTTTGTCCACTGTGTCTACACCGTGAACTCTTTGGGACAGCGATTGTCTCCTCCTAGAGTTCATCTTGACCTGCCAACATGTTAAAACCACAACTGCCCTAGCTACAGTCGGATTTCAACACCTGTCCACTAATACTCTTTTTTTCCCCCCCCAGTGTCCACAGAGTCTGTGCAGCGCCCAGCACAATGTGGCCCTGATCTCAGTTAGGTGTGATTGCAATATCTCATTAGGGTTTCCTTTTCCCCTCTGTAGGTGGTGCATCAAATCGCAGCTCGTAGATCTTCTAAAGCAGGGGTTGTGGGAAGAACTGCTGGATAACTACCAACCGGAAATCTACATCTCCGATTGGTAAGTTTCACCCTCTTCTCCCTAGAGGCCTTAATGGTCTCCTGCTGAAAGAAATGGGTTTGTGTCTTTGCTCCTGATTTCTGATGTCCAAAATAAGACACCTGCAGTTTCCTTTATTTCTAGTTATAGGGGCCACCTGTGCCTCAAAATCAAAGGGTTTGGGTTTGTTTTGGGGTGGTTGGTTGGTTTTTTTTTTTTTTTTAAACCTTAAAAATATCAGGCCTGTTGAACCTTCTTTGATCTCTTTTTTTGCTGGAGGTCCCCTTGGAGGACCCAGAGATGTGGGTTGGGAGCCCTCTTAGCCCTTAATTAAAGCAGTGAGAAGGGCTAGATTTTTAACAGTGAGTTTCTCCAGCCCAACTGTTGGTTGGGGCTTGCATCAAATGCATATTCGCAGGTTGCGTCTGTTCTCGGACTTGCTGGCTAGGATCATAGACGAGCTGCCCTGAAGTTGCTGGGCTAGACAAGAACAGTGAATGAGGATGTTATGTGCTTGGAGCTAAGATGCTGGTGCAAATCCCCTGACTGATGGGGACCAAAAACGCGGTGGTGCTGCATGTGTTGGATTTGGCTATGTGTGTTCCCAGGATTCCTGTTACCTTTTATGTTCGGGGGCCTGTGTCCTGTCTCCCTCTTGCTTGTTCCCCAACGTCTGCTCCCATCCCCCAGGTGGGGCGCCCGGGAAGACTGTGGCTGTGAATACTCCATCTGCGTCAAGCTCCTGGCTGCCGACGGAAGAACTGTAATTGCTGAATTCCAGGCCAACCCCGATCCCATACAGCAGTGGAACGACGCACGGTATCACCAGGTGAGCCGACTCCGTTGCCAGCTCTCTGGGAACATTAAGGGACAGGGAGTCAGGACGCCTGGGTTCTAGAACCGACTCAGCCACTGGGTTGACTTTGGGCAGGTCACTTCCCCTCCCTGTGCCTCAGTTCCCCTGGGAAAGGGGGATAACCATACCAAGATCTACTGTGAAGCGCTTTGAGATCTACCATTGAAAAGTGGTAGGGATGAAGTGGGCGTAATTTGTAAAATTATGTAGGTTTTATTACGGAGGAGCGGAGGTGCAGGTGGCGGCGGCAGAGAGAAGAATAGAACACGGGTCTCCTGACATCCAGTCCTCTATCCATTAGCCCACCACAGGTGACAGATGGCTAGGGCTAGTGGGCGTTCAGCCCCTCTTTCCCCACCCCCACCCCAAATCTATTCCTGCCTGCTCCACTCGGCAAGCAAAGCTCTGTATCCAGCTGCACCAGGGCCAGGAAGGAGGCAGGAATGGCCCCACCTGTGCACGGAGACTCGTGTTCCATGACGCTCTAGCGCTGGGGTCCCCAACTCGGTGCCTGCGGGTGCAATATGCTATTCCCACAAGAAAGGTTAGGGACCGAATGGCTAGGCAGCAGTTCTGCGGAAAAGGACCTAGGGGTGACAGTGGACGAGAAGCTGGATATGAGTCAGCAGTGTGCCCTTGTTGCCAAGAAGGCCAATGGCATTTTGGGATGTATAAGTAGGGGCATAGCGAGCAGATCGAGGGACGTGATCGTTCCCCTCTATTCGACATTGGTGAGGCCTCATCTGGAGTACTGTGTCCAGTTTTGGGCCCCACACTTCAAGAAGGATGTGGATAAATTGGAGAGAGTCCAGCGAAGGGCAACAAAAATGATTAGGGGTCTGGAACACATGAGTTATGAGGAGAGGCTGAGGGAGCTGGGATTGTTTAGTCTGCGGAAGAGAAGAATGAGGGGGGATTTGATAGCTGCTTTCAACTACCTGAAAGGGGGTTCCAAAGAGGATGGCTCTAGACTGTTCTCAATGGTAGCAGATGACAGAACGAGGAGTAATGGTCTCAAGTTGCAGTGGGGGAGGTTTAGATTGGATATTAGGAAAAACTTTTTCACTAAGAGGGTGGTGAAACACTGGAATGCGTTACCTAGGGAGGTGGTAGAATCTCCTTCCTTAGAGGTTTTTAAGGTCAGGCTTGACCAAGCCCTGGCTGGGATGATTTAACTGGGAATTGGTCCTGCTTCGAGCAGGGGGTTGGACTAGATGACCTTCTGGGGTCCCTTCCAGCCCTTATATTCTGTGACCACTGCCCTAGCGGGCTCCTCTGAGTTCTACAAGCTGCTGGAGTCGGGCCCAGACCTGTGGGACGGGAGTCACCGTCAGCGCTCCCTCTAATTTTTCCCACCCATGTGCGGAATGAATTTTGTGATGTGCAGGGTGGATTTGATTTAAATCATGATTTAAATCACTAGTCAGGAAGACTCCATTTAATCATGGATTTCTACATAAAAGTGCATTCTTGTTGGTTGTTTTATACATATTCTTCACAACTCCGAGACAGACGAGACCCAAATTGGGTCTCTTTTATGGCCTGCAGCCGTTATAGGCTTTCCCTTCTAGTGAGAGAATGGTATGGTAGATCTCAGATCAACGAAGGCTACACTCAGAAAGACCTCAAGACTTCTGGAATATGCTGCTCAAACAGTTTCACTTTTGTTTCTACTGCCTGTCCCTCCCTTCTCACATTTAGCTCCAGACTTCTTCTTCTTCTTGTCCAGATCTATTCCACCCCCAACAACCTTCTATTCATTGAACTTTTTGAAACTGCACTCTTAGAGAGAGTTAAGGGACTGACTGTGTGTACATAAATTTGCAGAGGGACAGTAGGGTTGAGGCCTGTTATTTCTCACCTCTATATATTTATTTTAAAACCTGTTTGCTGTTAACAAGCATGTTACCTCTGGAGACACAAATCCACAGTCTGAGAACTGCAAAACTAAGCATCTCTGATGGTATCTTCTAGACTGAGCACTGAGTCCCATTGGGTAGATAGAAAGATTAAATCGTGGTGGTCAAACTTTTTGGCCTGAGGGCCACATTGAGGTTCCCAAACTGTATGGAGGACCGAGTAAGGAAGGCTGTGCCTCCCCAAACAGCCTGGCCCCCACCCCCATCCACCCCCTTCCACTTCCCACACCCCCTCAGAATCCCCAACCCATCCATCCCCTCTGCTCCTTGTCCCCTGACTGCCCCCTCTGGGGACCCCCTGCCCCTAACTGCCCCCCTGGAACCCCACCCCCCATTCCAACCCCCCGTGCTCCCTGTCCCCTGACTTTCCCAACCCCGATACAGACCCCTGCCCCCCTGACAGGCCCCCCGGGACTCCCACACCTATCCAATCCCAGCCGCCCTCCCCACCCCCCGAACCTCCACCCCATCCAACCGCTCCCTGTTCCCTGACTGCCCCCTGGGACTCCCTGCCCCTTATCCAACTCCCCCACCCTCTTATCACACCTCTCAGAGCACCAGGACTGACAGCTGCGCTGCCTGGCCGCAGCCAGCCACGCCGCAGCACCCTCTAGAGCACCGGGGCAGGCCGGCGGCTCTCGCAGCCACGCTGCCCGGCAGGAGCTCGCAGCCCAACGTGCTGGCGGCACGGCGAGCTGAGGTAGCAGGGGAGGGGCCGGGGGCTAGCCTCCCCAGCCACGAGCTCTAGGGCCGGGCAGGACAGTCCTGTGGGCCAGATGTGGCCCACGGGCCATAGTTTGCCCACCTCTGACCTAAATAATCTATACAGAAGCCCCGGGAACCCCATAAAATTGGGTCCCTAATTCATGAACTATTGGAGCTCATTTACAAAACTTTTCTTAAACATTACATGAATATATTGTCTCATACTATAGAATGAGAATTTATAATCCCTATTCCATGATGAGATACATTATAGCTCAAAGATATCTTAATTAAAACTATCTTTAGATAAGTTTTTTCCTCAAAAAGCATTTTATCAAAAAATCCTTTTTTTTTTTTTTCTTAAATCATTGATTTTTATCCACCCTGGTTATGTGCACCAATATGGAGGTGATGTGTGGGAGGGGGCTCAGGGCTGGGGCAGAGGGTTGGGGTGCAGGGGTGTGAGGGATTTGGCTGGGGGTGTGGGCTCTGGGGATGAGGGGTTTGGGGTGCAGGAGGGTGCTCTGGGGCTCCCTCCAGCCCTCTCTCCCCGCGGCAGCTCTGGGGCTGGGGCCAGGGAATAGGCGCCCATCCCCGGCCATGGGAGGTTCAGGCCACCCCTCCCACGACCGTGGCTGAGTTAGGGAAGGGGTGCCTTGGCCACGCCCTGAGCACCTGCACAGAGCTAAATAGGTTGCTGCACGGCCAAGCACCTTACAGGGAACTTAGGCCACCACTCTGGGGGGAATGTGGGACAGGCCTGCTCTCCGACCCCCCACTCGCTGCACAGTGGCTATTCCGTTTTGCCCAGCCCCTGCTCTGCAAGAATATCTTCACCAGTCTATGTAGCCCCGACTTTCTCTGGAGCACATGGATTTGTGACAGAGTCCAGAGATCAATTTGGGTTCCTTTTCCTTCCCTCCCAGGTGTCCTACTGGTTCAGGCAGTACGGCTGCGGAGTCCGGTATGTGCATTTCCTCCACAAAGGGAAGGACACTCATTTCTGGGCAGGACACTACGGCGCACGGATCACCAACTCCACAGTCATGGTGAAGCTCAGCTGAGAGCCAGGAGCGGGTCTCCACGAGTCTCTCACGCAAGCCGGAATGATGATCTCCATTTGCCGCTGCGAGCTCCTCTCCTGTCCTAGAACAAATCAGAGGGATGCGTCTCCTTTAAATTAATATGCCTCTACGCTTTTTCGGTCCGTTCTTTCCGGCCAGCCTCGTCCTGTACAGGACAAAAGAGTACCGTGGCGACTCTTGAGGTTCCTAGTGCCTGTGAACCTGCCCCTGCACAGCAGAAGCAACAAGTCTTTAAAGATGGAAACAACTGGGCTTGTGCCATTATTTGTGGGGCTTTGGGATTGTGCCATCGGAGCATGAAGGGGTTAAAAAAATAGTTCTTTGAGGTGGTTTTTTTTACCACCGTGAGGAGAAGTTGTCAGATCTTCTCTGCCACGTTTCCGTTTGGAAGCTGCAGAGATTTGGTTTGGGAGCTCGCTGTGTGTTCTGTTAACGGAAGAGTTTTTTCTGCCAGCTGATGCCTGTGGCGTTGCCTGTCTGATGTGTATCCAGATTCACAGGCAGGTGAGCAAAATACCCCTCCGTCCCCCCCATGTTAGTTAGATTGCATGGTTCTGGGGAAGCGGGGGTTAGAACCCAGCTCCTGCAAGCTTCAGGTAGTGCAGCGCTCATGAGAATACCATACAAGGCAGCCCTTGGACAAACGTAAATAGCTGCTTGTTGATTGTCCCGGAGTTTATGGGGAACGTAACCTTCAGGTCTGTTCTCACTGCACTCGGATCCCAGCAAAGCCAGCGGGCGTGGTAGACGCTCAGGCCTTTTGCTGACATAAACCAAGGGTCAGCTTCTGAAGTGTGTAAATCTGGAAAGACTCCAGAAGAGTGACTCCAGATTCACACAGGTCTACATGAGACCAGAACCGGGGCCTAGCAGTGCTTTGGTGCAGTTCCCTCCCCATGGGGGGGGCGAGGGAGGGGGGCGATGTGGACGTAAGGCAAAGTCTACTCTTGTACTAACGCATGATCATGGGGCATGAGAAGAGGGTTGTAGGTGGAGCCACAGAACCCACTCCCAGCAGGGGTGGACGGGCAAGACCTTTCTAGGGGACTGGGGTCTAATTCCTGCCACATGGCCCAGCGACGGCCTTCAGTGCATCACCTTGTCCTGCATACAGCCATCGGGATGGGCCTTAGCCCTACTAGTAAAGACAGGCCAGAACCACTGCTGGTATAAACCAGTGTCCTGCCATTGGTGTCTTTTCTCTCTTACACCAGCAGGGGATACCGTCCTGTTGACCTGGAGGCGTGATGCTGGGGGATCTGGTGTTCTGTGTTACCTGTCTCAAAAACCCAAATTCTGCCCCCACTGAAGTCCGAGGCTCTGATTCTCCTACTGCTCAAATGATTGAGTGAAGAATGAGGCCTGCTGACTCCAATGGTCTTAAGCCTGGTTTACACCGGAGAGATAGAGAAGGGACTTAGGGTAGCCATACAGTCCTAGCACTGAGCAACCTCCCAGCCCATTCCCTTGGTGCGGAGAGAGCTGGAATGGATGGTGGCACTTGGAGCAAGGCTGCTATTGTTTAAAATGATCCCATGGGCCTGGGCTGAAATCCCTGGTAGGTTAGTTACTGAGAGAGCTAATGGGTTTCCTGTTGGTCTGAATTGTTTTTATCAATAAAAGGGTATGGAAGTTTTCAGCTGGTCACCAACCAGAAAAGAGGGGCCAGCGAGTATATGAGCTGTTCAGTTTCAGAGGGCTCTGTCCTGAAACGGAATCGCTGAATATGACATAAGCAGCTTGTTAATGAAGATTAAAGTGCTTTTCTGAACAGCATGTGGTGCGGGTGCTTTCAAGGAGAGGAAGAAACGTGGGGACCAGGCACAGCTCAGAGAGAAGGAGGCAGCGGACGGGAGCTTGCAGTGGGGTGGTAATTAAATGATGCCGTCTGGGGGCTGTAGGGGAAGAGCTCTCCCCCTCTGCCTTCTCCCTGAGTTTGTGCTGGGCGGCCTGGCCCAGGAGGGGTAGGCAGCTGTGCCCCCAGTTCCCTGAGCAGCAGGGTGCAAGCGGCTGAGAAGCCAGGGGAGGAGAGGCTGCTGCCCGGCATGCTCAGAGAGGGGGGCGAAGCTCAGGATCGTGCCGGGGTGCGTGTGACGCCTGAGACAGCTCTGCAAGACACGTTCCTCCCAGGGACGCTGGCCGGGGCAACTAAAGGCCCAACCAGCGGTGGGGGGCAGCTGCCTCGGTATCGCCCGCTGGCAGCCAGTATGGGGCTGGGTGGGGCTAGGGCCCCATGGCTCCCAAAGCCTTCCCCAGGCAGCGAGCGACCCAGCCCCACGGGCCTCTCCCCTCCCTCCCACGCTGCAGTGGGACAAGCTCCGGCCTGGAGAGGGGAAGAGGACGTGGCCTGAAGCTTCCCACAGGGACTCGGCAGCAGAGCTGGGGATAGAACCCAGGAGTCCCGGTTCCCAGCCCCGCCCCCCGGCCGCGCTGCACGGCTCCGCACGCAGGGCTGTGACGGGTGTGCGGAATGACCCTTGCGCTCTCCCGTAGTTCCCCACCATGATCCCGCCTCCGGGCTCTCCCCGGCCAATCAGAGGAGGGGCAAGGTTCCCCGCGCGCTGACCGCCCCAGCGCGGTGGAGGGGCGGGGCTCCCGCGTGGCCAACCAAGAGGCGGCGCGGCCGGAGCCAATCAGAGAGTGGGGGGCGGGGCCGAGCGGCGGAGGGGAGGGGAAGGCAAGATGGCGGCTGCGGAGTGAGGTCAGTGTGGATGGCGGCGAGCCCCTCCCCCACCGGTTTCTCTGGGGGGACGCCTCCCCCTCCCCCACCCCACATCTGAAGCCCGGGTCAGGGGAAGACCCCTCCCGTTCCCCTGCCAACTCCCCCCCCCCCGGTCCCCTCTCTCTCCCTTCCTTCCCCCCAGCTGCCCCTCGGTGGTTGGGGGGGGGGGGGTTCTCCCCCCCCCGCCCCCAGCTGGAGCCCTAACTTCTCGCCATTCTCCTCCAAGCTGCCCCCCTGTGATTGGCAGAGGGGAAAGGATTTCCCACCCCCCTCCCCACTTAGTGCCCCGCCTTTCAGCCGCTCCCCCCTCCCCCAACAGCTGCTCTGGGGCTGGGGAGAGGGCCCCGTTTCCTCTCCTCTTCGTGGTCCCCTCCTAGCTGCTCCTGTGTGGGTGTTCCCTCCCCTCCCCCCCTTTTCCCGCGCTGGTGCCTATCCTGCTCTTCCCCTCCCAACCACTTGGGGGCGTAGGGGATTTGTACCCTCCCCAAATCAGCTGACTTGTCCTGCTGAAAAATCCCACACCCGCCTCCCTGCCTTGCCCCCGTTACTGTGCCCCCTTTTTCAAAACCGTTGTCAGATTCCCAGCCGTGGTGGGCCAGGTGTGTCCCCACACAGGTAGAGAACAGGCTAAGCCTTCCACGCACATGCACCCCGGGACCCTTCAGCAGGCCTCAATCCGAATCTGCTGTAGGAAAGTGGGTCTGTGACTCTGTTTAGTGCTTGGCAAAGGAGCAGCTTTGTAACCTGGATGCGTCATTCCGCCTAGGAACTGGGCAGAGGCTTGCCAGACTCGTGCCACGTACAGCAACAAACCCCTGTCAGATAGTAACAATTCTCACTCGCTTTTCTTCTGGGCTAGTGATTTTAAAATGATAAGCTCTGTAGTCAGTTACCAATCCCATAAACCATCTTGTCTCACTTGACTGAGACCATGCCTATCAATGTGGTAGCTGGAGTTCCTGCCCACCAGAAATATTAACTTCCTGTTTTCCTTTCTTCCAGGGGACTTGTATTCATGGTCTCTGGGGCTTTAGTGAGCTTTTAATGTGGAGAATGTCATGCAGGGGTTTCCTGAGGTTGCTGGCACCACCTCTGAGATGGAGTACGTATCTGTTTCTATTCATTACTTTGAGTCTGATTGATTCTGGAGTGTTGCTCTGTATTGCTTTGCTATGCAAAAAATGCATTTAGCAACTATACTGGCTCCCAGTCTTCATAGAAATATTGGACTGGAGGGGACCTTGAGAAGTCATCTAGCCTTTCCCCCTGTGCTGAGGCAGGATGGCAGGCGTAACTATCAATAGACCTTCCCTGGCAGGTCTATTGGTGGTTTTTAAGCAAAGGTTAGACAACGACAGGGATTCCACGTCCTCCTTCGGTAACCTGTTCCAGTACTTAACCATGCTTGGAGTTAGAAAGTTTCTTAATATATAACCAAAATCTCCCTTGAAACGAAGCTGATTCCTTCATGTCCTCCCCTCAGAGGAAATGGAGAACAATTGATTAGTCATCTTTATAACAACCTTGTACATATTTGAAGACTGTTATCCTGTTCTCCCTCAGTCTTCTCTTCTCTAGACTAAACATGCCCAGTTCTTTCAGCCTTTCCCTGTAGGTCTTCTAAATCAGTGTTTCTCAAGCTTTTCAATACCAGGGACTGTCTTGATGCCTCCTAAACTGTGTGAGAGAGATCTCCGGGACCGGCGCTGCTACACGGACTGGTCATTGGGAAACTCTGTTCTAAATCGCTTATCGTTTTTGTTGCTCCAGGAACAACCATCCAGGGAACAGGAAGAAATAATCCTAGGGCTGCACAATTTGAATAATTGGGCAGGGGTTTATGCCTTTCTCTGAAGCACAGTTGGGAGGCAGGGTACTACGGTCCTATCTAGCATGGCAAGAGGTGGGATAATGGATTAGAAGGATGTCTGATGCTATACTAGATAGCACAGCATGAGACATAATCCCTAGTGGAGAGAGCACTAGAGCAGAACTCAGGAGACCCAGGTTCTATTCCTGGCTCTGTCGCTGGCTTGTGGAGTGATCTTGGGCAAGTCACGTGCCTCCATGTGCTTCAGTTTCCCCATCTGTAAAATGGGGATGACGATGCTAACCTCTTCTGCAAAGTGCCTTGAGATGTACTGATGAAAAGTGCTAGGTAAGAGCTAGGCATTATTATAGATGGACCATTGTTCTGGTCTCCTACAGGAATAGATGGACCATTGGTACAGAAAGGGATGCCAGCTTGGATTAGTCGGATTGTTCCCAAGTGGTAATTAATGAAACTTCTCTTCCTTATAGGTATCAATGCTTTCCCTCATGCCTTCGTACCAGGGAGATGGCCATTAACCCAAGCTCTGGGCCAGCTGGAAACCCGCACCATGGCAACCCTCAACCAGATGCACCGTAAGGGCAAGCCAAAGTTTCCCCCACCCAAACTCGGCCCCACCTTTGGCAACCCCCAGGTCAAGGGCGTGGTCCTTAAGACCATGATTCGCAAGCCCAAGAAGCCCAACTCTGCCAACAGAAAGTGCGCCCGGGTGCGGCTCAGCAACGGCAAGGAGGTGGTCTGCTTCATTCCCGGAGAAGGTCACAACTTGCAGGAGCACAGTATTGTGCTGGTGGAAGGTGGAAGGACACAGGACTTGCCTGGGGTAAAGCTCAAAATAGTGCGTGGGAAATATGACTGCGCCCATGTTCAGAAGAAGAAATAAGTGCCTCCGCGCTGAGAGGTGTTGTGGGATTGTAAAGTTCCCGGCATAGTAGGAAAGGAGTTTTAATCACGTCTTTATTTGTATCATGGCAGATATCCTCCAGAGACATTACTACTTGCTCTCTACTGTTGTGAAGTATTTCCATGCAGACCATGCTCATTAAATTCTAACTCGTCTCTGAGAGACAGGGTGGATTTGTGTTCTGAACAAGGGCTCTGAGTTGTAGTCTCAGTTCCCGGAGGGTATGAGGGGGTGTCTCTGGCTATGGGGTCTCTTTGGAAGAGTCACTCAGGCTCGGGGGGAGGGAGGAGTCTCTTCCTCTGCTCCTGGGAGAGGGGCTTCTGGAGTGTTGATCAGGCTGTGGTACATTGGGGGACCCTGCAGGTACCAGAGGTCTCTAGGAGAGTCACTCAGGGTGATGGAGCACTGGGGTGTTGCTCAGACTGTGGGACATAGGAGGACTCTGAGGATGGGTCACATGGGGGAGTTATGGATTGGGAGAGCACTGGGGGTCTCTGGGTGGTGGGGTCTCCCAGGGGGAGCTGTCTTTGTCTGGGGAGGGCTGGGAGGTGTTGCTCAGGCTGTGGGACACAGGAGGGCTCTGCAGGGTACAGGAGGGGTGTCTGGGGAGGGGGGCTCTCAGCGGGAGGCTCCCCCTGCCCGGAGGCAGTGTCCTTGGATGGAGTGGGGTGGGGTTGCTGAGGAGGTAGGGCTGGTGGCCGGGGGGGGCGGGGGGCTCCTGCTCCTTCAGCATCCCTCCCTCCCGTCCCCATGGCAACCAGCTGGCTTCCGCCTTAGCGACCAGTCTCCGGGGCGGGGCCAGCTCGGGCGAGGGGCAGGTTCTTTGTTCTGATTGGCCCTTCCGCCTCGTCTTGGGGGCGCGCTGCGGTTGGCCGGCGCGCGCGGGAGAGGCCGGAGGGGGGCGGGGCGAGCGTGTCACATGACCGGCAGACATGGCGGCGCCCATGGCGCTGGGGCGGGCGCTGCGGCGGGTCCGGGCGTGGCGGGCGCTGCCGGGCCCGGGGCTGCCCGGGGCGGGGAGGCGGCGGAGCAGCGAGGGGGCGGCGGGGCGGAGCCGGCTGTACGAGCACGTGCGGGAAGGGAACAGCGCGCGGCCCCGCCTGGACATGGCGGCGCTGAGCGCCCGGCCCGAGCAGGCGGAGCGGGAGCTGGAGACCCGCAAGGGGCCGCTGGGGCCCCGGGACCTGCGCGAGATCGTGAGTCAGGGGCGGGGCCTAGCGGGAAAGGGGCGGGGCTTGTGGACAATGGGCGGGGCCTATCGGAAAGGGGGCGGGGCATGTGTGCAATGACCCCCGCGGAAATGGGTGGGACTTGTGGACATGGGAGGGGTTTAGTGGTAAGTGGGTGGGGCTTAGGGCAGGGGAGGGGGCAGGGGCAATGAGCGCCTTGGCGAAGGGGATATGGGTGGTTGGGGTGGGTGCTAGAGGGAGGAGGGTCTTGTGGAGAGTGGATAGGATAGGGCTGATGAGAAGGATTTATAGAGTGGGCGGGGCCTATGGGGGAGGATGGATGGGGGCTATAGAGGAGTGGGAGGTTTATGGGGATGGGATGGGCTAAAGGGGAGGGACTTATAGGGAAGCGTCATGAGGACTATGAGGAGTTGCCGGGGACTACTGGGTGGGGTTTATGGGGATGGGGGAGTCTACAATGGATGGGTTTATGGGATATGAAGTGGGTCTTAGAGAACTGGGGAGAGGCCTTTGGGGAAAGGATAACAGAGAATGGGGTGTGGGGGGTTGCTGAAGTGGAGGGTACTGGCTTGCCTTCCTGTGTGCTGCTGTTGTCCCTGGCTCCTGCTGGGTATGATGGCTCCATCTTTCAGATCAGCAGCCAGCTAACAGGGAGAAGATGGATCCAGCTTCCCCAAGCAAAAGCAACAGGGTGCTCCTGACCTGATTTTGGTCTCTGTCACCCCTGCTCACAGGACTCTGAACAGCAGCCCTGAAGCTGACTAGAGCCTTGTAAATTTCCCTGTTGCTATTTCCGCTGCTTGGATAAAGTTCTGAGCAGAAGCAGCAATGCTGCAGCTGTCTCTGTGTGGTGAAGGAGACAGCTCAGGGTAAGGGGAAGCTGGAAGAGGAGGTGGATTTGGGAGGGAAGGACGTAAGGTTAGGAGGTTAAGTTGAAGAGTTGGATTCAGGGGGAAAGGTGATGCTTTGAATATGGGAAAGAAAGAAAGAAAGACAGAGAGGGTTTGGGAGAACGAGAAGGGAAAATGATCTACAGAGTGGAAAATACCTGCTGCTTTGTAGTGTTCGGAGGAGCGACTGTTAGAGAAACCCCAGCTCGGAGCACTCATGCTGCTGTTTTCCATCCCCACCAGCTCTCCACGTGGAAGAGACTGGTGAATGTGCAAGAAGAGATTGGAAAACTTGAAACTGAGAAAGAGGAAGTCTCCGTTCAAGTGAAATACCTCGTGGTGAGTCTACACAGCAGCACCTGTCCTATTCCCCAAAATAAAAATACCCACCATCACACAGATGTCACAGTCCAGAACTTATCCGAGGGGCATCCCTGGAAATTGCACAGACACCTTATTCACTGTATCCTGGCTTCATCTGCCTCAGCTGCCATCTCCTCGGCCGTGAATGACTTCAGGCCCTTTCGAAAAGGTGACTGTGTGCATAGAATCATAGAAATGTAGAACTGGAAGGGACCTCTGTAGGGCATCTAGTCCAGTCCCCTCTACTGTAGCCAGAGGGGATGGCACAGTGAACCAAACATCAGGTTTGAAACCTGTAGACTCTCTGGATCTAGAGCATGGATCCAGCAGTTGATGCAAACCTTTATTCTTCCCATTAATTCAAATTCTACATATTTTATGTTATGTGGATTCTTCCGATGAGACCAGAACATCAGAAACTGAACACTAAAACCCCAATATGGCACGTTTCTTAAGCATAGGGGGTCAGATCTTCTTCCCCCTCCCATCACTAATCCTGGCTGCCGATCACTCTAGCAACAGCTTCATTTTAGTGCTGGATGAACTGTATCCATTAGAGAGAGTCTGTCAAGTGCCTTTTACCAGAAAGCAAAGGACTGTAACTGGGCTCAACTCCTGTTGGCAAAACTACCATTGACTTCAGTGGGTGCATCTTTCAGTCTGTCGCTGTATGACCTCATGGGTTGCCGTGGTAGCTCAAAATATGTGACTTTGGACTTTGATGACTTTTAAGCAAGGTGTCTTTAGTCTGCTTGCTGCTTGTGGGTTTTTTTGTTTAACTTTATGGGCGGTTTGTGCATGTTTTGTCTGTTCGAGCATGACTGACGAACCCCCCCCCCCCCCCGTTCTCTAACCCCACCCCTAAGGGTTTTGTGCTGCTTTTGGATCCATTTCACACTTGTGGGCCTTTGAAAAATCCAGCAGTGGCAATCCTTGGGTTTGATTCTCCCCTCATACTAGTGCAAAACTGGAGTGACCCCAGGGAAGTGGGTGGAGTTACACTGGTGTAAAATTGAGATAAGTTAGCAGAGAATCAGGTGCATAGTGTGTAGATTACTCCCGGGCCCTGGGGTGAGATTTTCTGCTAGGTCACAGGCTGCCCCCTTCTCCCCTATATTTCCAGACAGCCCCAGTGTGCAATACAATATTTCCATGTTTAAAACCCCCTACTGCTTGTGGCTTCTAACAGCTGGTATAATTTTCCGTCATCACAGATGCTCTGTTCAGCATCTTAAAAGAGCAGATGCTGGGGAGCTATGAGGTTGCTTACTTTCATACAATCCAGGCGCCCCTGGTTTTGTTTTCTTTAGGCCGGACATCCTTCAGCAAGGAAATAACTCTTACTACCTCCTGTTTTTCTTTTTTTCCTCCCAGGAGACCCAGGACAAGAGCACATTGCAGTCGGTAAGAGCCAGATTTTGCTAATGTAACAATCTGTGAAAGCTCAAGGAAGCATTAAGTGCACACTTGACCTCTGCAGATCGATGCTAGAGGGTCACACACTTAATTCCTTAAGTAGACTGAGCTGTAAGCCCAAGGAGAGCAGAATATTAAGCTGTTGCCTGTGATGTGTAAGGAGCAGCAGGGGGCGACAGAGAGATATCCACCAACTCACTGCAGCAAATGGCCACACTGGGTTTCTGACTTTGCTCTCACTTAGAGCACTGAAATCCCGTTTTCCGATTCTCTCGCAAATCAACTGGGCTCTGTGTCTTGATGCCTAAAATATACCCTGAAAATTTGAAATTGATCAGACTGTAGCAACCCAAATCTGCTTTGATAATCTGTTCAGAAGCTGAATGGCCACCCCTAATAGTCCAGAAACTGACTTGGATCATTGGATTTCTTGCTAGCTACCTGAATAGATATGTATTAGTGAAGCTGTGCAACAGAAAACTGCAGGTGATCAGCTGTGTTAGAAGGCTTCATGTTTAGGACTCCGCAGGGCCTGTTTGATCTGTGGCCGCTGGTTTTGGGCCATCCCTGCTTTTAGCATGAATGTGCTATTAGAAGAAGCCCTCGTACGTTACAAGCCCTGGCAGGAGCATATGGAGAGCTCCTTAGAAATCCTCCTTCACTAGGAAGGATGGAGGTTGGGGCAACAGGATGAGGCGTGGACAGGTGGCTTTGAGAGGAAGACAGGGCATGGGGGTTAGGGCACTGGACTTCATGTGTGACCCTGAGCTGCAGTTCTCCAGCTATCACGTGAAGAGAACACATCTTTTATTTTTACCCCACCTTTGTCTGTCTTTAGATTTTAAGCCCTCTGATGCATGACCAGTCTCCTTTTTTCCTGTCCTAATGCAATGAGGCTCTGGTCTTCATTGTGACCTCGAGGCTTTACTGCCATTCAAATCCCTGATGTTCAGGGCTTTAAAGAAAAGAGGGGCTCTCTGGCGGTTAGAGCGTGTGATGGGTGTCCCGTGGAATGTTTCCGTTCCCAGCTCCGAGAGGGGACTCCTGGATTAGTTTTGTGAGAACAAGGGACTGGCTGGCCTGATGTCCGAGTTCAGTTCCCAGGTCTGCCGCTGTGTGACGCTGAGCGGGTTGCCTTTCTGTGCCCAGTTTCTAAATTTCTAGAAGGGGCTGATGCTGCTTTGAGGTTCGTGGTTGACAGAGGCAGTGGAAATGAATGCTGTAATACAGTGCAGGGTACAAGCTGTTGGGAAGATCCTGTAATACGCAGGGGCATATGGGCAATGAACCTCAAAGAGTGCCACAAAACTCGGCCATTGGATATATATCTGGCTCCTTTTTAATCCTGGATCTGGCTGAGACTCGCTCCTCCTTACTATGTTCTCATCTGCTCCCCCAAACAGCTTCCCGATTACCAAGCGCTACGGAACCGAGGTCGGGAAATACGTAACCAGCTGAATTCCCTGTACCAGCAGGAGATGGAACTGGATGAAAAGTACTATCTGAAGGCTCTGAAACTGCCGAACTGGACCCACCCTGATGTGGTAAGGTGGGGCTGCTGTGTCATGGGACAGAGGGTTGCTGTACGGGTGCACAATAGTCACTCAAGACACTGGGAGGCTTAACATTAGAGTTGGTAGGAAACTCTTATGAATACAGAAGAGATCCAGGTAAAGCTAGGTGCCTGTAGTGTATGTGGATTCAGTCACCTGGGCTTTAGATGTTGATATGGAACTTTCACCTTATTTCAGTCAAGTCTGTCCCTGAGCTTTGACTTAAACAGCTGCTCGTGTACAAGGGAGGGTGTAGAGAAGAGCCACGAAAGGGACCCAAGGGCTGGAAGAAACGCCTGACAGGAAGAGACTTAAGGAGCTCAGTCTGTTCAGTGTCTCAAAGAGAAGATGGAGAGGTGACTTGGTCGCCGTGTATGAATACCTTCCCAGGGAGAACAGACCAGGTGTGAGAAGATTCTTTAATCGAGCGGAGAAAGGCAGAACTAGGACCAATGGGTGGATGTTAAAGCTGGACCAAGTCCAGTTAGAAAGAAGGCACCGGTAAACAGTGCGGGTGATTAACCGTCAGTACCAGCTCTTGATGGCTTCAAATCTCAACTGGATGCCTTTCAGGAAGACGTGTTAGCCAGCCACAAGTGCTTGGACTCAATACAGGGGTGACTGGGTGAAAATCTCCACCCGGTGCTCTACATGAGGTCAGACTAGATGAGCGAATGGTCCCTTGTTCTGGCCTTAAAATCTTATTTATCTTCTCTCTCTCTCTCCATCCATCCTCCATCCTCCCACTAAGGAGAGCGTTGCCCCGGCATAGCACACAGCCGTTCTTACAATGTCATGGCCTCACTCTTTCTTTTTTTTCCTAACGGTGTGGAGTATCTGCAGCTCTAACCGCTAGACCCTGCTCCCCTCCCATTAGATGTATTGATTTGTGCCCGGCTCCCCACCTTTACCCAACGGCTTCTCATCCACGGACATAGGAGAGGCAGATCAGGGAGTCTGGGTGTGATTACTGCCAGGAGGGTAAGACAGGGCCGATCTCTCCAGAATTGCCCTGCCCTGTACGCTCCCCCTGCAGCTCTGATATTGGCCGCTGTCAGAGACAGGACACTGGGCTAGATGGACCCTCGGTCTGACCCGGTCTGGCCATTCCGATGGTCTTAGAGAACCATGCTTAGGGCTTGCCTCTTGTAGAAAGGCTGTCTTGGCTCTGATAATACAGGTATAACTGGCCCAAAGCAGTGAACCCACACCGCCTTGCTAAACCGGCTAGAGCTGCTTCCCCTGCAGATTGTGAATAGGCGCGCTGCATTCTGGGTAAGCATCCCAGCATGCAGTGTTCCCCTGCTTCGCACTCTGCATTGCGGGATTTTTCTCACGCCGCCCTTGGAATTGTGGGACTTTGGGTCGAACGTGCAAACTCCCACAATGCCCTTTCCGGTGTCCTGGAATTCAGTTAGCCCCTAGGTGGTGCCACGTCCCAAGGCCGGGTCAAAGAGAGAGAGAGATCCATGTAATTATGGGGCTCATCCGCTTTGGTTTTGGAGTGCGTTCCCCATGCCTCTCTTGAATCTTTGTGGTGGTCCCACACGACCTTTGATCTTTCCTTCCTCCAGCCCGTTGGAGATGAGAGCCAAGCGAGGGTGGTGGAGGTCGTGGGAGAGAAACCAGGTAGGAAGCGGATTCTCGGGGGGGCGGGAAGGGTTCGGACCCTGTATGTGGGGAAGGGTCACATGGTCCGGCTGCAAAGCCCATCTACAGCTGGCGTTCCTGATCCCATCTTCCCCCAGCTGGGGGGATCTGGCCCTCGGTTAGCCTTGGTTGTGACCTGCCTTCTCCAAATCTGCCTTGGAGATGGGAACATCTGCTGGGGAGAAGGGGAAAGACCGGCTTTGTCCCCGTGAGCCCCAGGGAACTCTGGGAGCAGCAGCTTACAGGCAGAGGGAGCCTGGGGATGGGGCCCTAGTAGCTGGCTTAGTGGGGTTCTGCAGGTCTTTGGCAGCAGTATGTGTGTTTGCGGGGGGGGGGAAGACACCAAATATTAAGACATAAGATGGGAGCAGTCATACATCATCCCTGTGAGGGGGAGAATGCTGATAGTTGGAGTGCATGGTCACTCAAACATTAGCTGTCTGGGTGTCAGAACTCCTGGGTTCCATCCCAGGCTCTGGGAGGAGAGTGGAGTCTAGTGGTTAGAGCAGAACAGGGCTGGGAGACAAGACTCCTGGATTTTGTCCCCAGCTGTGGGAGGGGAGTGGGATTTAAAGGGTTAGAGCAGAGGACGATTGGGTGTCAGGACTCCTGGGTCCTGTCCTGCCGTTCAGAAACTAAATAACTTTGACCGTGTCTTCCCAGCTCTGTCACTGGCTCCCTTTGTGACTTTGAGCAAGTTACTTCCCTGCTCTGTGCCTCAGTTTCCGCAGCTGTAGCAGAGACTAACGCTTGCCCAATCTCCTGGGTGGTTTGCCCGACTGCCAAGTGCTTTCTGCTCACTGGATCCTGCACAGTAGATGCACCTGCCGAGTACTGTGTCCACTGAGTTAGTGGGGGAAGAGTCCCCTACAGCTGTGATGCGTCTCCTGGGACCCCGTTGTGACTTTAACCCTTTGTTTCCCCTCCCCTTCATTTTAGCTTTTGATTTCAAAGTGAAGGGGCACCTGGAAATTGGGGAAGACCTGGCTATTGTCAGACAAAGGTAAGATGGTGGGGGCGAGTGGGGGGGGGGGGGGGGGGTTTGTTTTTAGAGCTACATTACACTGAACTTTGGGTTGAAATCTGATACCAAGGCCTGCCTGATACGTAGGCTTAATCCACCCGGCTCTGAGCCCTCCACGTTAAATGCTAAATTGGGTGGTACGACCGCTGCTGGAATCCCGTGTCCAGGACTGGGGCCCACAAGTCACGAGGGATGTTGGTAAATGGGAGAGGGGCCAGAGAAGAGCCGCGAGAATGATCAAAGGGTTAGAAAACCTGCCGTAGACTCAAAGAGCCCAAACGCTGCTTTAGCTTAACGAAGAGAAGGTAAAGGAGAGACTTGATCCCAGTCTCTAGGTACGTAGGTGGAGAGCAGCAACGTGACGAGAGAGGGGTCTTCAGTCTAGCTGACGAAGGCCTGACAAGATCCCTTGGTTGAAAGTTGAAGCTGGACAAATAGACTGGAAATCAGGTGCAAAGCTTCAGGGCCGCTCTAACCCATGGGCCGCGGGGGGCAGAGAATAGCCACAGTACAGTGCGCTCCGGCCATGTCCCCGATCCACCCCCTGTGCTGCAGGCCGGGCCCTTTGCCACTTGCACACCAGCTGCAGAGACTGCTGCGCAGGGTGGCTTCTTGGGGGGGCCATCTCCACCCACCGTGCGATCCCTTTACACTGCTGAAGGGTCCCGAATATATCTGAGCATCAGACCCTTGGAGCCTAAAGGGCCGTGACTTGCTAGCTGCCCCCCCCCCCCCCGCGTTTATACCTTCCTGCCTCTGGCAGAGGGTCAGGTTTGGAGAGACCACTCCAGACTGGGAGACTGCATTTTGCTATCCCATCGATGAGGCAGCTGGCCCCTGCGCCTGCCCTTGGGGGACCCCCAGGGGATGCGGAGGGGGCTGTCTGCTCTCCTGAACTGTGGATGGTTGTGAGGTTGAAATTTTCTGCATGTTGCTCGCAGCAGATTGGAAGGGAGAGGGCCTGATGCACAGATGGGAGAGTGAGGGGTAGCTGTTCTCAAGCAGCCCAGGAAGTCAGTTTCACAGCCGTGGCTGCAACTTGCTTGGTTCTTGTGTCCTTTGGGGTGATGGAGGCTCTGGATAGCTCCGGGCAAGGAACGAGCTCAGGTCTCCTGCAGGGTGAAGTAACAAAAGGAAGGCGCTGTGGCCTAAGGACTGAGGCATGGGAATCCAGACACCTGGGTTCTATTCCGGTCTCTGCCACTGACATGCTGAGTAACCTTGGGCGAGTCATGTGCCTTCTCCATGCCTCAGTTTCCCCTCCCAACCCTGACCTCAGCCTGTGAGCTCCTTGGGGCAGGGACTGCCTCTGCAGGGCCCTGGTTTCAGTGGGGCTCCTATAATACATCTAATCGGGGGGAGCTGAGGATCGATTGGCCGGGGGCTGGACTTCGACTGGTGCTGAGCGGTTGACCTCAGAGTTGTGGGTGCTGAGCACCTGTGAAAATCGGGCCCTGGGGATGCTGTCTACCTGGGAAGTCCTGGGGAAGAAGAGAGCAGAACCTTAGTCCAGGCAGGATGTCAGATAGTCTGGCCTGTAGCCCAGATTGGGGCTTGTTTGAGTCGAAGGGCTTGTCTCTTTAAAACAGCCGAGACTAGGTGGCCCCCCCGAAGCCGCCGATCCCTCGTAAATGTCGCCTGCCCATCCACCATCAGGCAGATCTGCCTTGCATCTTTTGCGCTCTGTGCAGGGAGAGCCATAAACTCTCTCTGGCAGGGTGGCAGATGGTTGCTGGGGGAGCAACTGCCTGCTGTCGAGGCAGAACGCCACAGACCTCGGGAGGCCGCTGGGTTGGAAGAGAAACAGCCATTGTCAACGACCCACGTCCTCGGCCAGCTACAAACGGATGAAGTGTTGCTGAGTTCAGTGGAGCTCTGGCAGCTTAAACCAGTTGCGGATCTGGTGCTTTAATGCCCAAGTGCCACGTGCTGGGCCATGTGTGTTACATGGCTCGTGTCCGCAGGGGATGCGGGTCTGTTAAGAGCCAGATTCGGGGGCCTGGCTCGTAGCAGCTTGTGATTTCAGCTCTCCAGATGTTTGGTTCAGTCCCCTTGGGATGTCTCCCAAAATGGCAGCTGTCAGACACTGGTTCTTGGGAACCTACCTCTGGCTTTTTTGGTAGTTAACAGTGTGATCTGCTCTGGCTAGGCTGGAGCACGCAGCTGCCAGCTGACATGGGGAGACGGGTCCCACTGGACACCTTCAGGGAAGATCCTAGGTCTGAATTACAGAGGAAGTGGGGTCTAGTGATTAGAGCAAAGGGGGCCTGAGTCAGGACTCCTGGGTTCTATCCCCGGCTCTGGGAGGGGAGTGGTGTCTAGTGGTTAGAGCAGCAGGAGCTGGGAATCGGGACTCTGGGTTCTATCCCCGGTCTGGGAGGGGAGTGGGGTCTAGTGGTTAGAACCGGGGGGGTCTGGTCGTCAGGATTCCTGGGTTCTGTTGGGGGCAAGTCCCTTCACCCCTCTCTCTCTCTCTCTCTCTCAGTTTTCTCCTCTCTGTGAAATGGCAAAGATCTTGAGCTTCACCACCCTGAATCAGCCCTTCTAAAAAACCCACCCTTTAGAGGCTGGGACAACTTATTCTCTCCACTTCCCAGGTGGGGAAACTGAGGCACAGAGCAAGGCAGTGACTTAACTGAGCTGCCTGAGGGATTCAGAGGTTGGACAGAGAATAAAACACAGGAGTCCTGATGCCCCCCGCCCCCGCTTTAACCACATCAAAGGGGGACCCTCCAATAGGCATGTTGATCTTGTAGTTAGGGCATCAGACCGCACTAAAGTGATCAGCCACCTGCTGTGTCTGGATGCCTCGGGGGCCCTGAGTTCCAGATCAGCTGTTGCTCTCTCTGGGCCCATTAGCTGATTGCTGACGCCCCCAGCCTCCTGCAGAATGGAGGGGCCATAAATGTTGCATGGGTTGCCCTTTCTCCTCCCTGTTGTTCGGCTGTGGGCCTCGGGCACTTTCCGACATCAGGCGCGCCTCCCCTGATTCCCCCACTGCCCTGGGGTGAGAGCGATGGCCCGTCATGGAAAAAGTCTCTTCTCCCTCAGCGTCTGCACGGGTGTCACGGGGCTTGGCCAATTTCTCTCCCTCTTCAAGATGCTCCCGTGGCTCCAGGAAGGCGGGAGTGAGTGGAATTACTCCAGAGACGAATCTGGCCCCTTTGTCCATTAAATGGGACAATAGCTGTTTCCGTCTCAACTCCTTCGCCCACCACCCTTGGATCGTCACAGATTCCCCTCCAGAAGGGACCACCGTGATCGTCTGGTCTGACCTCCTGTATATCCCAGGCCAGAGAACTGCCCCAAAGCAGAACTTATAGCAAAACTCTTGATTTAAACTTTGTCTGTGATGGAGAATGCTCCATGACGCTTGGTCAATTGCTCCAGTGGCTAAGAGCCCGTTATTAAATAGTTGTTCCCCATGGAGGTACTTATAGCCTGGGGCCAAGCTGCCCCTTAAACGTCTCCTTGTTAAGCTATGTAGTTTGAATCTCTCGCTATAAGGCAGGTTTTGCAATCCTTTAATCTTTCTCTGAACTGCCCCTTCTCCCAGCATGCCCTGCAGGGACCCCGGGGGGGGGACAGGGGAGATTGGGCTCCGTGACCCCAATGGTGACTGACAATCTGAAGCTCCCCACCACCCGCCCTGTGAGGTAGGGCGGTGCTGTTATACAGCTGGGGAAACTGGGGCACGGAGAGGCTAAGCGACTTGGCCGTGATCGCACAGGGAGTCAACAGCAGAGCTGGGCTCCAGGTTAGGGCTGCGCCATGTTTCCGGGAGCAGCCAGTCGCTCCCTGTGTTATGTTGCCCAGTGGAAGTGGCTTGACATGGTCTCTCTTCCTTTCTCTCCCCATGCAGGCGTCTCTCTCACATCTCAGGCCACCGCTCCTATTATCTCCGTGGGGCTGGAGCCATGCTCCAGCATGCCCTGGTGCAGTTCACCGTCAGCAAGTTGGTGAAACAGGTACTTCCAGTCGGGTTTGCCGTGTGGCCTGGGGGCAGCCTGATCTAGTGGTTGGAGCAGGGTGCGAGGCGTCTGGGCTCGCTCCCCAGCTTGGGGAGCGGGGTGGGGTCTGGTGGCTGGAATGGGGAGGGGCTGGAAGTCAGAGGTTCTGTTCCCAGCTCTGGAAGGGGAGTGGGGTCTAGGGCTTAGGGGGTCTAGGGCTGGGGTCTAGGGCTTAGAGGGCCTAGAGCAGGGAGGTTGGGCTCCTGGGCTCTATTTCTGGGCTTGGGGAGGGTGGGAGTGGAATCTAGTGGTTAGAGCAGAGAGCCAGGACTCCTGGTTCCTGCTCCCAGCTGTGGAAGGGGAGGGTGGGATCAGGAGCTCAGACTGCTGGGTTCTATTTCCGGGCTTGGGAGGGGAGTGGTGTCCAGTGGATAGAGCCCCGGGAAAAGGCGGGGGAAGGGGGAGTCGTCATCAAGACTCCTAGGTTCTGTTCCAGACTGTGCCGCTGACTCGCACGTGTTTGGGGGCGTCAGGATTCAGTTCATTAATAGGATTTTGAGGCTCCATGCCCCACCGGCGTCCTCGGATAGACCCTGTGTCAGGACATTTGGTCGGTCTCAGGCCAGCCCCTGCTGTCCGCAGCGCCAAACCGCCCCCAGAATTCAACCCCCTGGTCGGCAGCCTCCGCAGAGGCTGAATGGCGTCACGGAGCCCAATCTCCCCTGCCTCCTCCCCCCGTCCCCGGGGTCCCTGCAGGGCATGCTGGGAGAAAGGACAGTCGCCCTGGGTCCGCTGGCCTGTAGGATCTTCTCCTTCCTCTCTTCCTGCCTAGGGCTTCATTCCGATGGCCGTTCCAGACCTGCTGCGAGGAGCCGTGTTTGTAAGTGTCCTGGGGCGGAGCCCTGGCCCCTCCCTGCCCAGGAACATGGACGTTTCTGACTCCCCCCCCCCCCCCTCCCGTTCTTTGCTGGCCTTGACAGTAGGGTCTCCCAGAGGCCGGCTGTGTCGGTGCCGTGTTCCCAGTGCTGGCCCCCGACTCCTCTATCCCAGTGTTCCTGTTACAACTTGATCCCGTCAGCCCCCAGCTCTGGGATCCCAGTGATGCTGGCTCCTGCCTCTGCATTCCCAGCAGTGCCAATTCCCGGGTGCCCATTCCACCCCCAGCTCTGCTGGCTCCCAGGTCTCTCTCTGCTCCCAGGCACCTACCCTGTCCCCCAGCTCTATACTGAGAGTGGCAGCTGGCCCGACTTCCCCCAAGCCCTGTATTCCCAGGGTCGTGCATTCTCCACCAGCTTGCTCCTCCCCCTGTTACTGGTGCTCCCCGGGGGTCTGCCCACCCTGCTCCAGGCCCCTTGCGGTCTCCCTCACTCTCCATTTCTCCCACTAGTAGCAGGGCCATGGGTCCATCAGCCGTGCAGAGTGTCTGGCCACCTCTCGGAACCTCGAATTTGGGAGGGAGGGAGGGCAGGCGCGATTCTGGATGAGCCGACAGGGTGGCCACCCAGGACTGGGGGAGCCCTGGCAGGGATGGGTTGCTCTACTGGGGAGCTGGACACCGTGGAAATAACCAGGGCTCTGCAACCTCTGCCCTTCAGGAAGGCTGTGGCATGCAGCCCAACGCCGTCCCGTCCCCGGTGTACAACATCGACCCGACGCGCTTCGAGGACCTGTGCCTGGCTGGCACCTCCGAGGTCGGCATCACAGGTGAGGCAGGAACCGGCGGGCCATGTCCGTCCTCGGCTTCCTGGTGCGACACTGAAACGCTGTGCTCCAGAGGTGGCCGCATTTCAGCAGCGGTGGTGGGGACGGGATGGAAGGGCCCAGGTCAATGTGAGATGAGGTTGGTCTGATCCCTGAGCCCCAGGGAGCGCTAGGCCCCTGGGCTGATGTCTGATCATTTACACTTCCTGCATTCGCTGCACCTCCGACCCCACACCGGTGGCGGGGCATATTACCCCTTTAAGGGACCGGCTGGAACTAGCAGCCGGGTGCAATCACGGCGCGCCCTGCCCTGCACTGGGGCTGTGTGTAAACAGGGAAAGGAAGCTGAGCCAAAGGGAGAAGAGACCAGACCTAGGCCTGGGAAAATCGGTTTTTCAGTTGTAAGTTTGGAGACTCTGACGCCAGGCCCTTAGAAACTGGATTAAGCAGCTTCTTTCCCGAGCTCCTCAAACGCTCCAGGAGCTAGGAACTCTGCCAGCTGGGATTGCTTCAGGGGCCCTAAAAAGGACATTTTAGTTTTAACTGGCCCCTTCTCGGATCCCAGTGCACCTCCCCGCTTAGATCTCAGGCCTCCAGCCGGCACCTTCGTCAGGGCAGGATCCCACCGTCCTCTTCCTCCTGGCGGGGGGCTTTGAGTTCGTCTACCCTGGAGCTGGGAGCTGTAATTCCCACTTCGGACAGAGCTAGCGGGCAAAGAATAGCGGTGTGACCCCTCCCCTGCGAGACCCCAGGCACCTCCTCAGACTAGCCCTGACTCCGCCGCGGCTGCACTTGATTGCACGCTCACTCGACCGGAGCGAGCGCGGGTACATCTCCAACAGAGCACTTAGACACCGAGCGGCCCTGCCCACGCTGCGTGGCTTTCTTCCAGGCGTCTCCGAGCCCCTCTGGGTTTTCAGCGCTCTGGTGCAGCCGGGGGAATAGCGGGCGACCGCTGCCAGTCCACCCGACCGCTGCCTTCGGTTGTCTCGAGGCCGGGACTCACACGGTGGCTGGCGGACGAACGCCGTCCCGTTTCTGTGCCTGGTTCCTCCAGCGTGCCGTAGGCTTGTGTCTTCCGCCAATCCGGTCGGTTTTCTCCAGTCGACGGTGAACGGCCTGAGTATTACGGAGTCGGGTACCTCTGTCCCTGCTGGGAATTGCACCCCAAGCTCCGGCGTAGACTTAATTCTCAGGCTGCCCTGGATCCGCCAGCAGCTCTGCCCCCACCAGTCTGTTCTCTGCCGCTGTGCTGAGAGTTAGCCAGCGACCAGTCGCGGCCTATTTATTCAGAACAAAAGCGCTCCAGAGAGAACAGATCTGGGGGAAAAAAACCCAAACCAGGAACCACAGGCGCTCACCCGTCTTCCAGCTGGCAGGTCTCGAAGACCTCCAGGCACCCAGCAGGGCCTGTCTCTGGGCTGGAGCATGAGGGACCCTCTGCCCTATGTCAGGGCGGGCGCTTTGTGCTGTTCCAAGTGCATCGTGTGCCAGGGCCTTTGAGCCAGGTTGAGCAGCCTGGTCCCCATGGTGGTGGTAGTTCATTGTTTCGGGGTGGCGGGGGGGGTTACATTAACGCCCCCCTCCCCCCAACTCCTTCGTTGGCTTTAGATCCTGCAGGGAACATGTTTTCTCTCCTCCGCTGAGCCAGCAGTGCGGTCGCGAGCCAGCCCAGGAAGATCTCCCTACAGCTGATAGTGTGGGCTCTGTCTATTCCCTGCTTTCTCCAGCCGTCCACCGAGAGAATCCAGCAGCGCAGGGGCCTTGGTCTTGTTGCTGCTGTACCCAGGAGAAGGGCTTAGCGTGCCCGGCACAAGGAGGGGGCCACCCCATCACCCTCTTCTGTGCCCCTTACTGAAACCCTCCTCCCCCTTTTTCCAGGCTACTTCATGGATCATGCTGTGAATTTGGAGGACATGCCTGTCAGGTAATAACCTTCCCCTTACCTCACATGGTTTGTTTTTCACAATCGTCCTCTTCCTTCTTGATCTGTCTCTCTCTGCTCCCATCCCAGCTCCGGCCCTTTGACTGGCCCCTCCGTGCAATCCCACGGCGCTCAGTGCAAGAGCCTTCTCCCCCGCAGCGCTCGCCGTCCTGGGCACTTGCCCCGTATTTCTCCCACCCTGACAGTTCTCTGTCTCATCTGGAATCGCACCCACTTTTCCTCCCTCAGCAGACTTGGTTTCTCTGTCCCTCCAATGTCATTTATTCCCTGCCAGGGGTTTGGGGACGCTGTGCAAAGTAAATTCTTGTTGTATTTCACAAGGGGGGGGCGGGGATAGAACCCAGGAATCCTGAGCACCTCCTCCCCCTCCACACTTTAACCACTAGACACCACTCCCCTCCCAGAGCCCGAAATAGCATCCAGGAGTCCTGACTCCCAACCTCCTTCACTCCCAAGCCTGCCCCGAGACCTCAGGGTTCTGTTCCTGGCTCGGAGTCGAATAGGGAAAAGTCTCTATACGTCAGTGCCTCAGTTTCCCCACTCTGTCCAGTGGAGTTAATGATGCTCACCCCCGTGGCAGCTGTGGGGTTTCTTTTCACCCACCCAGCCCCGGAGAGGGCTGGAACAATGGGTTTAATTTCATGGCCTGTCCTGTCCCTTTCCCCTTTGCCAGAACCGTGTGTTCCAGCACATGCTACAGAACCGAGACAGACACTGGCAAGGAGCCCTGGGGGTTGTACAGAGTCCATCAGTTCACCAAGGTAGGGGTGCCATTCATTCTCTTGGGGAAAGCAGGAACTGGGGGGGGGGCAAGGGGGAATGGGAGATTAGAACCCAGGAGTCCTGACTCCTAGCCCCCTGCTCTAACCACTAGACCCCTCTGCAAGAGGCAGGGCCACCTTCCCTTTGCTGAGGAAGGGTGAGCAGAGAGGCGCTTAGTTTCCATACAGGATCCCGCTCTGGGTTGCTCCAGCTACTGGCCAAGGGGGCTTATCTGCGTTGGGACCTGGACTGAGATCCTCTGTCCTACCCTAACCGCTGACCCGATGGGGGAGCGGACTGCCAGCGCCTCCTCCCCGGGGCTGGATCAGAACCGACACCCTCTGGGCCGACCGCTCCCACCAGCCTGGCATCTTCGGGTCAGGAGGGTCCTGTCACAGGGCATTGACAGCAGGGTGGCGTTCCAAGATCCCAGCCCTGGGGGACAGGGTCAGTGCAGGTCGAGGGAGGGGGGCCTGGGAGCCCTCCCGAATAAAAGGCCCGTGGGACGGCGCGAGGAGCGGCACCCGGTTCCAGGCGGGGTGGCAGCGGCTCCTCCTGCCTGATGCGCCAGTTTCTCTCCCCACAGGTGGAGATGTTCGGGGTGACGGCGGCGGAGAGCGGGGAGGAGAGCGCCGCCCTGCTAGAGGAGTTCCTCGCCCTGCAGAAGGAGATCTTCTCCGAGCTGGGGCTGCACTACAAGTGAGCGGGGAAGGGGAGGCCGGGAGTTCTGCAGGCCCTTGTCAAAAGGGGAGCTATGGGGCGGGGGTGGGGAGCACCCCCGCAAGGGTTACCCTTCTGCCCTCCTTGGCGGCTCAGGGCCGCTTTCCCGGCTCGGCTGGGGAAAACGGCCCCAGCAGCTTCGGACCGGGTGCCCCGAGTGCTGGGATTGGTGCGTACCTCCCGCCACCTGCCTGATCGATCTCTCTGCGGCAGGGTCCTGGATATGCCCACCCAGGAGCTCGGGCTGCCCGCCTACCGGAAATACGACATCGAAGCCTGGATGCCTGGCAGGGGCAAGTATGGCGAGGTGAGAACCGCCAGCTGGAGCGGTGCTGGGGGTGGGGGAAATCCAGGCACCAAGGGAGCAGCTTGTCCAGGGGATCTGGGGCAAAGGGGGCAGCCCTGGCTGATATCTGCTGCCGCCCCATGTGCCTTGGCTCCCTTAGGTTAGGATCCCAACCACAATGGCTGTCCACCCGCATGCTTCAGGGTGTGGGGGTGGATAGGCATGTGAGGGGTCAGGAAGGAGATATACAATCTCACACACCCCCCTAATGCAAATGTACTGATGGGGGGGGAGAGTCCATTTGTGGGGAGTGGTGTGGCGGCACCAGGCCCACTGGCCTGTCCCTGGGGAGGTGTGGGGGGAGGGAACTGGTCTGGATGTGGGGACAACCTAATGCCCTTGGCGGGTCATGTGGCTGCTTTCTGCGTCACGTGACTGCCGTCCCCCAAGCCACCTCCCGCCACACGGCCCCCTCCTCGCTTCCCCAGATCTCCAGCGCATCCAACTGCACTGACTACCAGAGCCGGCGTCTGAACATCATGTACTGCGACCAGACGGGGCAGCTCCGCTACGCACATACGGTGAGCGCCCGGGGCGGCGGGGAGATGGGGAACACCCGCACGCCCCCCCAAAAGGAGTGAGGGGCGTTTCTCAGGCGATTTCACAGGAGCGTCAGATCTAGCTGGACTTGGGTGGGAGACCTAACAGAGCCTGGGTGCTGCATCCCAGTGCTGGGCGAGGGGTCCCTGTAGAAACCGTCCCCACGCCCCACCCCAGAGGGGGCTACGGCTCAGTACTGGGGGAGGGAGGGGTCCCTTTGTCTGTCAGGTTGGATCGTGCAGGGGGAAAGTTGTATGTTAATAAATTCATCCGCCGTGGGGGCGAGCAAACTTCATGGCTACAGGTCCCGGAGCTGCTCGGGAGGCTGGCAGATGCAGGTCACCGGCTGGTGAGCGGCTGTGGGGCAGGGGGATTAAATCCCCCCCCCCCCCGTCATTCGCGCTGTTCTTTTCCCCAGGTCAACGGAACGGCCTGCGCTGTCCCGCGGGTGCTGATCGCTCTGTTGGAGTCCAACCAGCTCAAGGTGCGCTCCCGTCCCGCCGCGGGGGACATCTGTACCCCATGTGCCCTGCGCTCGGCTCCTGGGCTTGGCGCGCCTGCTGGCGCTGGGGGCAGCTGTCCCCACTGACGACCAGCGCGGCGGAGGGGGGCCGGCCACACGGCCCCGGGGGAGAGGGCAAAGTTGTGGCAGCCTGGGTTCCCTGCCCCAGCCGGGAGTAGAGAAGTGGGGAGGTTCCCCCACTGAACCGGAGCCAGGCTAGGGTTGAATTTAGAAGGCACTTTCCCGGTTCCCGTTTCAGGCCAGATGGGGCCGTTAGCTCATCCGGTGCAACCTCCCGCACAGCACGGTCCGTTAAGTAGCACCCGCCGATGGCTGGAGTGGGCTCGCAGCGTGAGGCAAGTCAGGGCATTTGTCCCCGAGAGCAAGGGGCCCCCAATGCCCCTGCACTTGCAGGGAATCGATGGGGGGAGATCTCCCCAGATGATCCTGCACCCCTGGCTACGGAGGAAAGTGGGTGTGGCGGGGAAATCCCCATGTCCCTGCCAAGCTGGGGGGAAATTCCTCCCTGCCCCCCTTCTCTCCGTCAGCTGGGGAGCAGCGCAGAAAATCGGGGTTGGCTCAGCAGTGTGGGCCCCATTCCAGATTCCCTCCCCCCCACAAGATCCAAGTTTTATGGGGAGCAGGGAGCATCCTTCTGCCCAGGCAGACAGGCCCGGAGCCAGGATGGTGGAGTGGGCTCCAGGTGGGAGCTAGCGGGTAACGTCTACAGTCACTGCTGTTGTTTAGCCATGGGGGGGTGGATCCCCCCCCCCCAGTGCTGCGTCTTAACCACCCCCTGCCCCGTTCCTCCCCCCAGGACGGCAGCGTCCGAGTCCCCGCGATCCTGCAGCCGTTCCTGGGTGCGGAAATCATCGTCAAACCCAGCTACGCCCCCTTGAAATACATCGGGCCCAACCAGCCCAAACGCTGCTGAGCAGCCCACCGGGAGCAGCCGTAACGGGGACCAGCTGTCGGGGATCCCACCCCCCCCCCCGACCCCGCCAGCCCAGCCGGACGCAGACGAGACACGCGCACACCCCGGCAGCATTCAGAGGGGCCTTTCCTGGCTTGTTTTCCGGCTCTGAGCCACACCCAGGTTATTCTCAGTGGCTTGTGACCCGTCCCTTCTCCTGCCCCCTCGAGTTGGTCTGTGGCACCTGGATGGGGCCGATGTGGATGGGGTCTGAGGTGCTTCAGAAACCCCAAGATCCTTCCGGCACTGGATTGAGCTGCCTGGAGCCAGACCTGCCTGGAGCCAGCACTGGCAAGAGGCAGGAAGCTGTGTTCTCCCCAGGACTCCTGGGTTCCTCCATCAGTAACCCCTGGCGAGGAGGAGGAGAGATCTGGCTTAGAGGCCTTTGCAGGGGCATGCTGCCGCCATGGCTAGATTCATTCACGCCCTGAACAATTCCCTCTCCGTGTCCTGCTCCGCAACTTCCCTGCCGGTACCAGCCACGACCGGCGGAGCTGATTGCTGACGAGATCGAGAGCTTTTCTCCCTGCGGGCTGCCTGTTCTCATCTGACTCGGGCCGGCGCTGGCTGCAGCGTGTTCCCGTCGGCCAGCCCTTTGGAGACCCTGACGTGAAATGAGTTTTGCCAGGTCTAAGCCCAGTTCCCTGGTGGAGCCGCTTCGCACAGAGTAGGATCGGCACCAATTCTCACCGGCAGCCTCAGTGGAGAGGCAGAACAGGCCATGGAGACTGTACTTCCCCCTCAGCCGTAGCCAGGGTCCCCCGGGGCTCTGGCAACCAAGCAGGGGGGCAGTGTGGGGGGTGGGGAGGTTCGCCCTTGCAGCTGCCCATGCTATGGGGAAGGAAAGGGAGATCCAGGCTCCCTGATCGGTCGCTGGACTGACTGCAGGTGGGCAGGATCCCAGCCAAGGGGCTGAGAGGGGGAGAGAGATACCTGAGTGGGGCAGCTGCCAAAGTGAGGCATGGGGTTCCTGGAGCTGCCAATCAAGGCAACGAGATTGTGCCACCCATTAAATCTGCAATTGGAAAAGGTTCTTCTGTTCTCAAGGTCATTGCTTAAAACACAAACTGGTTAGGGAGGAGCAGGGTCCAGTGGGTTGGGTTACAGCAAGGGGGGTTGGGAGTCAGGACTCCTGGGTTCTCTCCCAGCTCCGCCACTGACTCATGACCTTGGAACAAATCACTTTGTTTCCCACTGTGTGGAATGGGGGTCACCCCTCCCCTTCTGTCTTTGTGGATCCTCGGCTGAGCCTTTCCTGGGCAGGGTGGAGGGGAAGTTGGTCTGGAAGGACCTGACCCAGCATTTCCATTGACCTCTGTGTGCTTTGGATCAGCCCTGTCGGGTGTCGTGCGGTTGGGAAAACCCTCCTGCCTCAGGGAATTCCCTTTGCCCTGGTGCTTTGAGATCTCCAGTCCTGCTGCGTTGGAGGGGGAGGCACCAATTGACTGTGGCAAATTGATCTTAATTGCTACTGTGGTCCAGAGTCACCAGGGAACGGAATAGCCAATGCTCCTGCACCCCCTGCTCCTCTGTACTCCAGCAGTTATTCCACGGAGGAGAGCGACGCCTGCAGGACAGGGTGCAGGGTACTGGAACAGCTCCCCTGACCAGTAGTTTCCCTGCCTTCGGGGCAGGATCTGACCCTTCGTGATTGTACAGAACTGCTGTCCGCCACTGAGAGGCAGCCGTCTCTGAGGCGGGGTGTGACAGCTGCTTATAGATGGACAGTTTACCCAGCACTGAGATGCAGCGACCTCTGGGGTGGACGGTGGCAGCTGTTTATATGGGGATTGCTCCCCACCAGTGAAATCCTTCCAACCCCAAGTTGGCAGTCCACAGTTGTTTATCCAGGGATCCTCCCCCAGCACTGAAATGCTGCCACTTCTGGGGTGGAAAGATGGCAGCTGTTTATACGGGGATTGCTCCCCCCGGGCTGAGATGCAGCCGCTTCTGGTGCGGAACGCAGCAGCTGAGCAATGCCGGCTGCTCAAAGAACGACAGGCCCCAGTGCGATTGGGTTGGCGGTAGCCAAGTTGGGATCCCAGAGACGTGGTAGGACAAAGCTGTTTTGTCCATCACCTCTGCCCTTGCCAGCCAGCGTCAGAGAGGGGCAAGGAGTCCCGGTTTACGTGAAAACCTGCTGCTCCCCCCCCTGGGGCTTTTTATTGCTTAGAAATTTGCTGTGCCGGCTGATTTGATTCAGTTCCTCCTGTGTCCTCCCTGGGGCTGCTTTGCTCCTGCGAAGGGAACAGGGTGCAACCCTTTGTGCCTGGCTCAGCCTGACAATTGCTCTGCCACAAAGAGGGGCCTGCAAAGGCAAGCACAGAACAGCTGCCAGCTGCCCGTTCCTGGCTGCGCTGATCAACAGCGAGGGGCACGGCATTTATCAGCGCTCGCCGGGAGCTAGGGCCGGGCGGCAACTGCTTCAAACTCGGCTGCAGGGCGAGGGCTCGCGATGCCCCGGGCGGCTGCGTCTGAGTCTGAGGGGAGAGCGCCCCCTCCGGAGTTGCCTCCGCAGCACCGTGCCCCCTCGCTTTGAGGGCAGCAGGAGAGCCGGATCTTCTTTTTTTTTTCTTTGCAAAGAGTAAAGTCACCCACCCCAAAAGAGCATTTTTCAGGGCACCGAAACTGTTCGTGCATTTGGGTGGAATTTGGCAAATAGTTTTGGCTGAAAAAATGGTTTGTTTTTTTTAACGTCTAATTAGCTAAATTTCTGAATGAAACCATTGAAAAGCCGTGTTTTGGTTTGAAGGCCGGGTTCGATCCAATGCACAAAGTTATTTTTATTTTATTTTATTTTTTGCATTTTGGCTCGAACCTACCTGATTTTTTGCGGGGGGGGGTGTCCCAAAACAGACAGTCATTTGCTCAGGGCTAATCAGCACTGATTGCAGAGGAAGAGCGCCCACTACTGAACCCCCCACTGCACTGGGGTCAGCGGTGACTGTGAGGGGAGAGCGCCCCCTAGAGGCCCTGCTGGGGTCAGCGGTGACTGCGAGGGGAGAGCGCCCCCTAGAGGCCCCGCTGGGGTCAGCGGTGACTGCGAGGGGAGAGCTGGCCCCTAGGGCCCCGCTGGGGTCAGCGGTGACTGTGAGGGGAGAGCGCCCCCTAGAGGCCCTGCTGGGGTCAGCGGTGACTGCGAGGGGAGAGCGCCCCCTAGAGGCTGGGGCGCGGACTGCGAGGGGAGAGCTGGCCCCCCGCTGGGGTCAGCGGTGACTGCGAGGGGAGAGCCGGCCCCTAGAGCCCCTCTGGCGTCAGCGGTGACGGCTTGTGGCTCACCCTACTGCATCCCCCGCAGGACTTTCCACAAGTGATGGCCATCATCACAGGCCTCAGTTTCTCCCACCAATGTCAATTAGAGGTGGCATTAGTCAGGCCCTGGATGAAAGCAGTTGCGTAGTGTTGCTCTGAGTTATTGAGTAGCTGTCCCCACAAGCCAGCTGCACCTGGGCCCTGGGTGAATGATCCCCATAGGAGCAGCTGCCACGCTTCCACCCAGAGGTGGCTGCATTCTAATGCTGGGGGAATGATCCTTATCCATACAGCCTTAGAACTTGTGATGCTGATTGTAATGTACTTTATTACGGAGTCACTCTGGATTGATGGCCAGGACCATTGCATGGTTCTGGCCCGGGTCCTGGCATCCGCCTGACTCCTTTGCTCGCCATAGCTAAGCCCTGGCACCATTCTCCCCCTCCCCGCCCCCCGGGTGCTTGAGAGCACCGGGAGCAGGCAGCTAGCTGAGAATCACCTTTGACTGACTTCAGACTGAAACGGACCTGGAGCTTTAAATCAATGAGGCTCATTTAGAATCAGGGCAACGGAGTGACGCCGGTTTACACCTGCTACAGATCTGGCCCCATTGGCTGCAACGGAGTGACACTGATTCTGGCCGGGGCCGGGGGGATCTGGCCCCGGCTTTGGAATCAAAAAGAAGAGGGTTGTCATAGGAACAACATTAAAACAAGATGAGCTGGCATCAAGTTTTCGAAGGGAAGCGCGTCGTTAATGGGGGTTGATTTGAAAGGGCAGCAGCGCGATCAAAATGAGAAATTAATTTAATTAAAGTGAACGAGGCATTTTTCAAACCCCAGGTTTCCTCGGCCGGGCTGGCTCATATTTCCCGAGAGGAGCCAAACGAGGAGCTGTCCTATGTTTGTCACCGTTTACGCTTGTGTGAGTTTCACCCACGCTGGGGAGCGCCTTCACCCGGAGCTTTGTACGCAGCACTCTGACTGGAGTGGCCGTCAGGGCACTCGGCTTAGTTAGTGAAGTCTCGTACACGCTTCTGTCCACACACAAATCAGTCTGACTCCCATCAGCAAGCACTCAGGACCCGGCTCCGAGGTCCCTTCTAGAGCCCAAGTCCTGTTGCGACTTGGGTCCCAGACCTGTTATTTTGCAGTGTGGACGCAGCTCAAGCCGCAGACCCGGGTCAGAAGGGCTGCGTGGCACAGAGCGGGCATGGCTCTGAGACCCGGGTCCAGCAATTGTAAAGCCAGGTTTACAATGGAGGGTGGACCCCAGTCAAGCGCTGGCTTGGAAACCGTGTCCACAAGACCGGGTCTGACCCCATAGGGGTGCGCAGAGCTCTGCCAGGGGGTACATCGACTCCTCTAGATATTTGCCTGGCTTTACTACAGGCTCCGTAAACAGCTCTAGTGAAGTTACAAACTAAAATTTCATATGATGACGTGTTTATACTGCTCTGTGTACTAGACACTGAGATGTCAGGACAATATTTATATTCCAATTGCTTTGTTTTATAATTCGGTGGTGAAAATGAGACAGGAAGCCATTTGGCTGGGACACTTTTGTATTTTTCTGTCTCGTTTTGTAAGCAAGTCGTTTTTCAGAGAGGTGAAACTTGGGGGTACGCAAGATAAATCAGCCTCCTGAAAGGGGTCTGGAAAGCTTGAGAGCCCCTGGTGTGGACATAGACTCTGATCCACAAAGTCACTCCTGATTTACACCAGGGTCCGGTCAGAATCTGGCCCGCCCAGACCTTTTAGCTACCTCGGTAACCCAGGCCTTAAGCCCAGTGACCAGTGTGTGCTAGGGAAGAGGCAAGCTAGATTATTTGCTGGCCAGGTTTGGTTAGGCACTGGGGTGGCTTGGAATAAATCCAGTGTGCAGAAGGGAAAGGAGGGGGAGACCCCCCCCCCCCGCAGCTGACATCACTTCCTTTGCAGCCTGCCTCCTATTTAAAATCCCGCTGCCTGTCCTCAGATGCAGAGGCAGGGCCGCTCGCGCACACACGCGAAGGCTGCACCTGTGGGGATTCGGGCAAGTTCGCTGGCCTTGGCTGACCAGCTGTTCCGCGGCTGCCTCCCCAGCCCCTTCTAACCCGCGTCTGCAGCCCGCTTCGCTCCTGAGCTCCCAGCCCGCCTGCCTTTGTTTTACACCCGTCGTCAACAGCAGAATTTGGGCAGCTCTTTGGGACTCGCCACCCGAGCACCATGCAGGCCGTCGGCCTCTCCGTCTTGCTCCTGTCCTGCTGGCACGGTAAGAGCCGAGCAAAGCAAGGCCCAGACTGGGATAGACACAGCTAGGCGGGTTTTCAGAAGTGCCTAGCTGAGTTAGGTGCCTGGTCTGCTTAGGTGCTTTTGAAAATCCCCTTCGGTGCCGAACTTTGCGTCTTAGATGCACAGATACCTTTGTAAATGTGCCCCCAAGTGCCTCTTCCATGCCCTGATGTGTCTGATCATTGTAAGTTTCCACTGTGTGTTCTGGCTTGGGTCAGTCCTGCTTTCCCATTCTCCTGCCTTCTGGGGAAGATCCCGCCTGGGCTGGGACAGCGTGTGGCCAATTTCTCTTTCAAAGGGGGCTGGCGTGGGAAGGTGGCGATTGTTTGCCCCCTGGGAAAATGCGGCCTCCCTGGGGGGATCTGCCAGAAATCCATGTTCCCTGCCATCTGGGGAACATGCTGCATTGAAAAAAACACACACGCACTCACCAGCAGCCGGCTTTATTCTTTGGCTGGGGGTATTCTGCAGGAGGAGCTCGGCTTGAAGTGGGACAAAGTCCTGTTTT